TACTTCAAGCTCTCTCTGAAGGATGGACAGCCCATACTGTCCTCTTTGTGACACTCAGGAACAGCTAATCATTTTTTCTTTTATTTCTACTTCTCTTCAGAACACAAAACTGCCAGCATCACACATAGTGCTTCTGACTGATAGGTCTTGACCCTCCTCCCTGATGACCTATAAACTTGTGCAAGAATGTGAAAGATGATTGGTCGGTGCCAAACTTATAGTGTTGTCAGTCCCTGGACCAAGAACCAGAACAGATTTATGGCACTATGACTGCCTAATCTGACACAGTCATGATTGTGAAAAACAAAAATGTCATGTAGTCTGATCCCGGCATAACCCTTTCTTACCTTCTTAATGCCACTGACTCCCTCTAGTGGAGAGAAAATGAATAGAATATTTTGTATGACTCATATTTGTTTCTTTCTGCAGACTCTGCCTTTAACAGCAGACAATCAGAAACACAAGATACAGTAAGTGATTGGGGTTGATAAAGTAAAACACCTGAATAACTATAAAAAACATTTTCCACTATTAATAGACTGCAGTGATGAACAGTGAAATAGACAGTTGTCTCTTCTATTGTACACTCTTAAAAAAGATGTGTTTTCAGGAGTTCTTTAGGAAAGAAAATTATTCTATAGTAAAGAAAATTATTCTTTCATCTTTGAGTGTTTATGATTAAAGGATTCTTTGCATTGTGAAACTTCAGATTGATGGAGAATGAGCTGTAGAAAAGAGGGTTGCACTATTGTTACCTACCAAAGAACCCTTTTTGTACTATATAGAACTCTTCTTGCTAAGAGTGTAGCATGTAGGAGTCTGATCTACACTCTTAGAAAAAAAGGGTTCTATATAGTACCAAAAAAATGTACATCAATTCTCCATCAAACTGAAGAACACTTTCATGATTCAGAAAACCCTTAAATCATGCAAAGGGTTCTTTGAGTGTTCATGGTTCTATATAGAACCATTTTCTTGACTAAAGAACCTTTAAAGTACCATCTTTTTTAAGAGTGTGGGCAGTTGTCAGAGGTCAGAGGTGTCAGAGGTTTTGATGATTAACACTATAGAGAGTTCAAATTTCTCTCATATGCCTACATTCTAACTGTATTTGGGTCAGTGACAAATAAGGTTTGCAAAAATCGCAAGTTTTAAACATCACATTGAAAAAAACATGATGTAGATTTTTATATCTGCATATATATATATATATATATATATATATATATATATATGCTTTTAGACCTATATGCTTTACATCATCTTAAATATAATGAGTGTTATCAAAGCTTTTAATTGCTTATTTCATTTATCAAAGCTGTGCTTCTCTGGTTGCTCGATTTGACCTACAGTTTCAGCCACCTGACTTTATATACTAATTTCAAATTAAACTAAGGTATCTACTTAGACATCCATAGAAATTGTCCCTGAAGTTTAGTTTATAATTAAATTTTTTCTAATGAATAAACATTGTAATAATTGCACATTTTCATGGATTTCCTGAGGTCAGACCACCTGACTGGATAAACTGAGCCATTCTAATGTTGGCATTGCACCATGAAGGTCACTTGGGGTCTTCTTTATGATGCAAATCCTGGCCTCTCTTTTATAAAAGCGTGTGAGAATAAAAGTCCTGTTTTTGGTTGTGCTGCCCGAAAGTTTGGGAAGTACATACTAAGAAGTTTTTCAGTGAGTTGAGCACTTTTAAAGTTGCCATACTTTATAACATGGGTTTTATTTAAAAGTTTTTAAACATAGAATCATGCCAAACTATTTTATTTAGAATTTTATATCATTAAATTAATTTTTTGTTTGCCTTAATCATCATATATGGTTGGACGGCTGCACCACCTGACCTTTTTAGATTTTGAAGGCGAAAAGAAACCAAAATGAATTTTATATATAAACACACTGAAAATCATTTGACATAAAAGAGATAATGTTGAATAATATGATATATGTGACGTTTTTATTGAAATTATTTTTGGGAAAATAATGGACATGGACACATAAAAATGCACATCATATCAATGACCCATTTAGCAGAAAATTATGTGAAATGATGATCATGGATTTTATCTCTATGCTTTACCAGTCTGTACTGTGTTTCCGATAGCAGAATGATGATGATTATGAAAATGATCCGCCAGGAAAGCAGAGCAGCATCAGGATGGGTCCAGTCTACCAGAACAGGGCATCCAACACCCGCCAATCAGAATCAGTCTACCAGAGCCTGGACCCCAAAACCAGAGAACCAGAGTCAGTCTACCAGACTCTAAAGAACAACACTGAGGAAACAACCAGATTCAGTATCACAGAGTCTACAACCCAACACCAACCAATCAAATTCAGTCTCCCAGACCCTAAACCGCATCACCAACCAATCAGATTCAGTCTCTCAGACCCTAAACCCCAACACCAACCAATCAGATTCAGTCTACCAGAGCCTGGACCCCAAAACCAGAGAACCAGAGTCAGTCTACCAGACTCTAAAGAACAACACTAAAGAACAACCAGATTCATTATAACAGAGTCTACAACCCAACACCAACCAATCAAATTCAGTCTCCCAGACCCTAAACCTCAACACCAACCAATCAGATTCAGTCTACCAGAGTCTAAACCCAAACACCAACCAATTAGAATCAATCTACCAGAGTGTAAATGTCATCACCAACTAATCATATTGAGTCCACCTGAATCTAAACCCCAACACCAACCAATCATATTCAATCTACAAGAATCTAAACCCCAACACCGACCTATTCTATTCAGTCCACTAGAGTCTAAACACAAACACCAGCCAATTAAATTTAGTCCATCAAAGTCTAAAAAACAACACCAACCAACTAGATATACTAAAGAATTTTTAGCACTGAACACAAAAATAAACCCTTCTTCTGCCTTTTTAGGCAGCATGCAGCAAGTTAGTTCATTTGAGTTTAAGAAATATTAATAAAGTCACATTTTGTAGAAACAGTCATATTTAAATTTTGAGTCATTTGAACTGAATGAAGTAAGCTTTTACATTGCTGGTTCATTCTTTTATCTGGTCTAGTACATATTCCACTAGACTAATATTTGAAGAAATTATCTGCTTTATATTACATTATAATATTATATCATAACTCATTGTACATCATTGTAACTCAAAAAAAAAACTTTTGATTTTCTGTTTTTTAACACAAAACAAACACAAAAAGAGTTATATTGCAGTTAAAGTTATATCATAACTCCTTATAACTCAATCCCCATGGTAATTCTGCTGCTATTCTTGTTTATGTTCAAATCGTTTGCCTTTTTCTTCTGTAGATGAAAAAGCAAAATATGAGTTTTTTAAAATTAAGATAGCCCTTAAAATTAGCAGAAGTGTAGTTATGAGCACAAAACTGATTTCATTTTTCCTGCTGAAATCAGTAACCGTACACAGATAAAATGGATCTATAAAGTAGGTGAGCTCATAATGTGGACAGTGAGTGGAAGCACAAGGTAGGTGTTTCTAATAAAGTAGCCAGTGAGCGGAAGTACTAAGTGAAAGATGAGTGGAATGCACATTTAATCTGAAGATCAGTGCTGCCTCCAAGGGGCCACAAAGCTCAACCACATTAGCACTGATCTCGATTCTCACTTCCTTTGATTCAGATGAAATATTTCATTGCTTTTAAATCTTTATGACAATAATTTATTTTTTATTGATTGGATTATTTCAGTTCCCTTTTAAATTTACTGTATAGGTGCCCTGCTGAAAAAAAGACCATTAGAACCATTAAAATAAAAACCTGATGGGTTTGCTCCCTAATGGGAATTGCCCTAATGGTTACTTATAGACACCACTATTTTCCTGTAGGAGCAGCTTTAGATCCTGAAAAAACATCAAATGCATCTTGTTAGACCATTAGAATCCTTCACACTGTGATATCCATCCTTCAGGAAAACATCACTGACTATTGAATACCTCCAGGAACCAATAGAAACTTTTCAATGATATTAATATTCCATATGTATTTATGATGTATATTTTTGCAATGTATGAAAATGGCCAAAATATTTGTTAAATATATTCTTTTAAATGCATTTCAAATTTATCTTCCAGATATTTGTATTAAATTTATTTTGCAATATATGAAAATAACCAAAAGAAATGTAATCATTAAATAGATTTTTTTTACATGCATTTAGTTATATTTGTATTTTTCAATTGCGTGTAGTTTTAATAAAGATTCCATGTATAACTGAATATTCATGAGCTAAATGAACAGCACTGACTTCTGTGATCTGCATTGTACTTTACATTAACCATGTATGTCTGCAGTGAGACTCTCAGACACAATATATTTCACATAAACAAGATATCAGATCATAACTGCATTTTCACAGAGTATCCATACCCACAACACTTGCTTCTGTCCTGTTAAAGGATCATTTGATCATATTTGAAATGAAGATACTGGAATACAAATTCATTTCTAAAGGTATCAGACAGTGAAGTGCATCAGACAGGATTTTGGATATTTTCATACATTTATAAACGGCTTTGATAAACACATTTACATACATTTATGTCTGTATGGTACATTTCTATGTGTAATATTTCCACAAACATTTTTAAAATAAATGTATTTTAAAATATATTTAGTTAATATGGCCATATATTCTGAAATACATTTTAGTGTTTGGAATGTTTTTAGCATGGACTGCAATCTATTTGACAAGTATTTCAAATATATATACAATATATATCTATATATTCTTTTCCATATGGATGAGGCAGAAATCATAACAGGATTCTTAAGATTCTTACAGTAAACTGGGAATATTAATATAGCTACAAATATTATAGATGACTATAATACAGCAGAACAGAAAAATCGCAGAGGTTATTATATAAAGTGCTTTTAAAGCATTACTTGTGCTGAACGCTAGTCCTGTACTCTTCCTAACCAATAGAGGGCAGTATGCACATGAACTCGCGATGTTTACACTGAAGGTGAACAAGAAGATCTAATAAACGTGCTGGTGTGACGGTTCTATCAGAGCTGTATCGAAAGAAGCTCCGTGACTGAAAACAAAATATTAACAGTTAAAACTTCACTTTGGACTTTATAACATCAGCTCGAGTTCGGAGCGGCTGGCAAAGCAAAGTGAAAGTAAACGCTCATGTGAGTGAAGGTAAGCTCAAACTAATAGATGCAATTCATACAGTATAAGAGTTAAAAAGTCATATTAGTATTAAAGTGTGTTTTATTATGATCTGCTGTCTCTGTTCACTCCTCCTGTCATTTTTCATATACTGACAGAACTGATCACGTGCAGTTAAGCTCGGAATAACTTGCTATAATAATTATAATGCAGTGATAATTATTCTTATACTGTGTCTTATACCATGTGAATTTAAGTAAGTGTTATGCACTGTTCCTCAACATTTATTTTAGACTTTTTACTTAAAAATTTAAGAGATACCTGAACACAGAATTAATAAAATGTAAATGATGAATCATATACTGTATTTTTGTGTTTATGTATTTAAATTTTCTACCTTATGAGTTGATCTCTACTTTTGGAATGTGATATATATACAGCTTTTCTCAGTTGTTTTAGAATCATCTACTGGCACTTTTCAATGAATAGATCAAATATAAATCAAATTATGAAAACTCTGTCTCTTTCTTTCTCTTTTAGCAGGAAGGTAGTCATAAGATAATGAGAGGATGGCCTCCATATCTGGCCCCGTCCGGGCTAACATCACTGTTCAGGATGAAGGAAAAGTTTTTGCTCCCATGATTGTTGGAAATGTGTTTAACAGTCTGTGCATCATCAGCTCTGACTCCAGCAAACACAAAGGTAACAAGCGTGGACTCTTCATCAGATGTTTGATAAGCCGTTTGTCATTCAGTGAAATTAAGCATGTCATGGTTCTTTTTCAGTTAGTGATCATCTTTTTGAATTTTTAACCTCTGTATTTAAGTTGTCAAATCTAATCTTTCTCTTTTACACACAGTAATCACTGAGGGAGCTACTTTCACTCCAGTCCAGGCTGCTCCGCTGCATCAGACTTCTACAAGTAATCCAATGCGAACAGAACTTATGTGTCTTATATGACTAAATGATGATGATGATGATGATGATGAAGATGATGATGATGATGATGATGATTTTCATTATGATTATTATTAGTCTTGGACAATAAACAGTTTGTAAAATTGCTAAATTGGGAAAAAAGTCTTGATAAATTTAATTTTTTTCTTGTTTAAATCTATGAATATTTTACAGTAACAAGTTCAGTATATCTAGAACAGTTCCCATTTGTGCCAATGGGGGACGACAAAGCCTTACATTGAGTCAGGGTTTTTACAGACATAAAAAGAAACACTCATGGAGTTTCCATGAGCGCTGGGATAGGCTCCAGCACCCCCACAGCCCAGGAAGATTAAGTGGTTTAGATGATGAATAAATAACTTTTATTATTAGTAGTAATAATAGTAGTGGAAGTAATAGTAGTAGTATTTATTTTTATATTGTTATTATTATTCATTCAATCACTGATGTTACTGTTAATGTTCAATTTTAATTAGAATTATGCTAGTTGTGCCTACAACTTCTGCTGTTCCAATCTATTCTATCATGTTCTGCTGTAAACACTTGTACCTTTATTTATATCTTTAATTAATGTTACCATCCATTCATATATTTTTTTTATTTCTAATAATAAGGTGGTGACAACTGTCAAAATTACACAGATGTCAGCACCAACCTGAAAGGCAGCCTGAAAGTGGAATATGAGCGCATACTCGATGGGAATTCCCTGACTGGCCACAGAAGATACCTGAACGAAGTTTACACTGATCTCTACATAGTGGAGAATGAGACAGGAGGAGTTATTCAGGGGCATGAAGTGAGGCAAATGGAAGCATTTTCCAGCAGACCTGCTGGGGAGGAAGTTCCAATCCACTGCAATGACATTTTCAAAATTCAAGCTGATGGTAAACGTAACAGAAAAGTTCTGACAATGGGGATTGCAGGAGTGGGCAAAACTGTCTCAGTCAACAAATTCATACTGGACTGGGCTGAGAAAAAGGAGAACCAAGACATTGTCTTAATTTTCCCCCTTCCCTTCCGCGATCTGAACCTAAGGAAAGACACAAACGTCAGTTTGATGGACCTGCTCCAGGATTGTCTCCCAGGTTCTACAGAATTTGACTCTCTTCCACTGGGTGATGGTAAAGTCATGTTCATTTTCGATGGGCTTGACGAATGCCGCTTCCATTTGAACTTTAACGACAGTGAGAAACTAAAGGATGTCAAGAAGAAAGCATCAGTGGGCTCAATAATTACAAACCTCCTTAAAAGAAACCTTCTTCCATCTTCTCTGGTTTGGATAACTTCCCGGCCTGCTGCAGCCCATCTGATACCCCGAGACCACATTGACCAGGTGACGGAGGTGCGAGGGTTCAGCGAAAAGCAAAAGGAAGAATATTTTAAGAGGTATTGTGGTGAAGACCTTGCAAATAAAATAATGATGCACATCAAAAAATCCAGGAGCCTTTACATCATGTGCCACATTCCAGTCTTCTGTTGGATCTCGGCCACAGTCCTTCAGCCACTGACCCAAGACAGTAATCTGAAAACACCTACCACTCTGACTGGTATGTACATACACTTCTTAGTTCAGCAGGCAAACCAAATGAAGAATAAATACCCTGGCTCTCACAAAGACATCATCCTAAAGCTTGGCGAACTAGCATTTTGCCAGCTTGAAAAGGGAAACCTGGTATTCTACAAGAAGGACCTTGAAGCATGTGGGATCGACATCAGTGGAGGTTCAGTGTACTCGGGAGTATGCACTCAAATCTTCAAGATGGAAAAGAGGTCTTCTGAACAAATGGTGTACAGCTTTGTACATCTGAGTGTTCAGGAAGCACTCGCCGCTGTCCATGTGTTTCATTCACACAGATTTCATAAAAAAAGCCCATTTGTCCAGACTCTGAAAGCAGGATTGAAATGGTGGTTCAAACATTCCAGCTATGAACTTCACAAAGGTGCAGTTAAGAGGGCTTTGCAGAGTGAGAACGGACACTTGGACCTTTTCCTCCGTTTTCTCCTGGGTCTCTCTGTGAAGTCCAACGAGACAAACCTGGAAGAACTTCTACCTGGAATGAGGATCAGATCAGCGAGCATGAAGAACACAGTCAACTACATCAAGAAGAAAATCAGAATGTCTGAATCATCAGAGAGGAGCTTCAATCTCTTCCACTGTCTGAGTGAACTGGAAGATGATTCTCTTGTGAGTGAGATCCAGAACTTCCTGAAGTCAGGAGATCTTGCCATAAAGGATCTCTCATCCACACAGTGGTCAGCTCTGGTGTTTGTGCTGCTGATGTCAGATGAGATGCAGGAGAAGTTTGAGCTGAATAAATACGGAGAATCAGACGAAGGATTGAGGAAACTACTGCCAGTGGTAAAAAACACAAAAAATGGATTGTAAGTACATAGCAAGCATATAGTATTCCTCTGTGGGATGCAATAATAATAATGATCATTTTATTATTAACAATGCAGTACTGTTAACACCATGTAGATGTTTATTAGATGCTCACATTCCCTTTAACTAACGTTCAACAAAATATCTGTCAAATGCAACTGAACTTGATGTAAATATATATTATATTTAACCCTAACCATAACTTCAACCCAGAATCTAAGTCGTATCTTAAATCTGACCTCTGTACTATAATAGATATGTTTGTTAACAATTAATGTATCTGTAGGTAATCCACAAGGGACTATCAAAATAAAGTCTTGCCCAAATAATAATACTTTATAATAAAAATACTGTATACGTAGCAGCTTTCATACTTGTTCATTTTTTATTAGTGAGTCCTGAATTTCTACCATTTATTTTGTTTTTTTTTTTGTTTCTACCATTTATTTAGTTTGCAAACACCTGTTTTGATTTATCTCCTGAAACATATTAAACTTAGATAGACATCTTACTAAGTTTCAGCTTCACAAAACCAAACAAATGCAGTCATGGTTGACTCATTTTACAACTTTGTCTGTTAACTCAGGTTTAGATACAAAGTGGGTGTGATTAATCTTCATGTATGTGCACATGGTGGTGATGACAAACAGCCAGTTACATAAGAACAAAGAGGAGTTGACTGGATTTTTGTTACAAAGCAGGAACAATCATACTACATAAATGAAAAACAGTAGTAAAAATAATGCATTTATAACAGTAAACAGCAACACTGCCAATGCCGTCAAGGTAGGGCTTGCTGGAGTAAAATTGCTTTGTATTCTTCTTCTCTATATAATACTTTTGTTTTCTCAACTGAAAAGCTATATATTTTTTACAAAATTGATGCCACAAAAGCATAGGGGTGGCTGGGGTGTCCAGTACCATCCCTGAAATCTGATTGGCTACCCCAGCTGCCACCATAAAATACCTGCCACATCTTTGGCTTTCCCCTTGCTGTGGGGCAGGTGTTTGTGCCTTTAAGAGGAGAATTGTTTCATTATTGGTGATCTGCGGAACAACTATCCAACCTCTCTCCACCCTCCCCCTTGCACATTCACACTGCCACCCTGCCGAAACTCAATGCCACACCTTTTAAATGTACAAAAGCATATAGTAGCTGCACATGCATATGTCTTTAAAAGTTCTTAATGAAAAGTCTTCTTCTACACAGGCTTGACTGCTGCCATCTCACTGAAGTGAGCTGTGGATTACTGGCCTCAGTCCTCAGCTCAAATTCTTCATATCTTATAGAGCTGGACCTCAGTAATAATGACCTGCAGGATTCAGGAGTGGGGCAGCTCTCGGAGGGGCTCAGGAGTTCACAATGTAAACTGAAGACACTAAAGTACGTAGCTGTACCGTCAGTACATTGGCAGTGCTTTATTATGGATATTTAGTATTGAATCTCTTCATAAGTTGGATACAAAGTATTCAATAAAATGCAATTAATTTACTTCAGTTTTATTAACTTGTAACATTCATTTTTTATTAACTTTTAGAATTCTGAAGTTTTTGTCCTTATTCCATATACTTTATTTACATGGCACCATAATATAAATGTGATTAAATAGTGGCATAATCAATGACATAGTTACATAATAAATTAGATTCACATTCAAATAATAATTAAGTGTTATCTTAACAAAACATTCTCTTTAGAAGACCATTAAGAGTTTGTTTGTGGTAATACATACTCAGAACAGTAAGGTCAGTTGGGTGTAGTGCTGAGTGTCAGTTGGATGTAGTGTTTTGTTATATACTCATAGCTTAACTAATAGAGCTCAGTGATATTTTTAATGAGATTTAATGAGCAATTATCCACCAATACTGATTCCAGTCTCATTGTGCATCCCTGCTTGCAAGCTATCTGTTTCTACTGTCACATTGGTATATATAGCAAGTCTGACAGGGAAAATGCCAAATCTTCAGCCACATATAGGCTAAGACACTAGTTAATTAGCTAGCAAAATTAAACGAGTCACACCTGATCTCAAAATTGTGACTTTGTATGTTTGTAAAAGGTCACATTTTTATAGGTTGGATTGTTCAGTTTCTTTTCCTGTCATGGAATTTCAATACAATTTATGGGTTTTTTTTAATTCTCTCTGTAGGTTGTCTGGTTGTATGATCACAGAGGAAGGCTGTTCATCTCTGGCTTCAGCTCTGGATTCAAACCCCTCCCACCTGACAGAGCTAGATCTGAGCTATAATCACCCAGGAGAGTCAGGAGTGAGACAGCTAAACGAGAGACGGAATGATCCAAATTTTAAATTGGAGATACTCAAGTACGTAAAGTCTGTGTGTACTTTCCTTTTTTTTTCATAAATGTCTCCATGATTTAAGAGATATTTGTCTAATCCTAATTTTGCTGTCTTGATTTGATTTTCTATTTTTGAAATAGCCAAAAAAAAACTCTTTGTTACTAAGGTAAAAGGGGAATGGCTCAGATTATTCAATAGTTAAGATGTAAACAAGGTCATATAAAGAGGGTTCATGTGAAATGCTCCGTTCTAAAGAAACTTGCCAAGTCCAAATTGTTCACAGTTGTGGTGATAGGACCCAGAAGTCTGAACGATTCAGTGCTTCTAAAAACTACAATAGAGTCATTATATGAAATGTTTACGCTGCTTGATGTCTAAGACATTGTTTTACAACAGTTTTGAGTTAATGTGCACCTATATGGGAAGTGTGTCTGAAATAATGATTATTTCATGTACTGTTTCTTAGGTTTGCACAATATTAGAATCTTATCTTTATTGTCAGATATTTACTTTAAAAACAGAATGATGGCATTGGACAGATGTTTAGACTTGACTGATATTTGAAAGTGATATCTAATGATGTATTTGTTATACTCTGGAAGAGCAGAATGTTTAGGTGATGCTGCATTACTGCTCTAAAATGTATTATTTTTTTCATTTTACTGTGCTTGTAAGACTCAGCAAATAAATGGTAATGTAAATACTGTGTTCTATAATGCTAATCCAGATAGATTTAGTCTCAGTTCTGCATTTTATAAACATTTTGTCAGCATCAGTCCACAGTTCCCAAGTGTTGTTAACTAACACAGCATATTTTTGAGAGTGCACTCTTCTGACTTTTTTTGCTTTGTTTTGTTTATTTTTTCTTTTTGATTCAGCACTGACCATGGAGGAGAAGAGAGGGTCAAACCAGGACTGCAGAAATGTAGGAAAAAGACACATTAAACATTAAATGTGCTTTCTGGAACATGAGTAAATGAGAAACAAATGAGAGTCACAGTTGTTCACCGTGGTGGTAATAGGAACCAGATGTCCAAAATCCCCCTTACAGGACCCATATCAGTATTATTTATAAAGCTCATTCATTGTCATAGTAAATAAAAGAGCTATATTTGCGTTGTAGACATCATGACCCCTGGCGCCGTATTACAAATTCCTGTCTTTTGTCCTAAGATTTAGTCTAAGAAGGTCAAGATAAGATTTTTCACAAATTTGTGTTACAGATGCAAATCTTATCTGAGTGTAGTAAATTTCTTGTCTCACAGCATCTTATCTCAAGTAAGGAAATCTTAACCTACTCAATCGAAGTTCAATCAACTGTCATTTCTGTTATGTAGCAACTGATGATATGCGCACAGCTCAAACATAAACATGTAATCAAAATGTTAAATAATGTTAAAAATATGTTAGTCAGCCAGACACCTACAGTTACTGATGTAAAAAAGGACAAAACAGAACTAAAGTGTGATTAACTATAAGTTGTGAATACTGTGAGAGCGCCCCCTGCTGTTTATCAGAGCGTCACCGCTCCCCAGTTTCAGTCTCCATTTCCCAAACACTTTAGCCGAGCGCGCTAACATTATTTCTCCTAATAAACAGACACACGTTCAGCTCCGTCTCCTCATTATTCACCACCATCACTGTAATATTTCATCATCAACATTAACACACAAAGGTAATCAGAGGGACGGTGGAGATCGAGTCTGCAGCGTCTGAGATCTTTAAAATGTAGAGTTAGAAAAGAAAAACATCTCACAGTGAAAGCAGCGTTTTACAGTAGAAATAAATGTAGCTCATTATACTGGTAGTGAACTATGCTGCATGACACAGCAGCCTAAAAACCATAGAAATGGACGCTTAAACAGAAGTTAGGACACTGTTGGGGTTCATCCTAAAGTTAGGACAGTATTTAGGAGGTTTAGTCTAGTTAGGATGTCTGTGTAATACTGTTTTCTTATCTGGAATTAGAATAAGATTATGAAGTTAGGAACTATTAGTGTGTAGTAGCTCATTTTAATCCTAACTGAAGTGGTGATTAAATAGGTAAGATAAGATATCGGAGTTTGGATGTTTCTGTAATACGGCACTCTAAAGAAATTTGAGTCTGTAAGTTTGTAACTCAACCGTAAAATTATGTAGAAATTAAAAGAAAAAAAAACAGTGGAATCAATGTAATTTCTGATGTTTTTTCCTCCTCGATCTTTAGATGCCTGTGAGCTCACACTGGACGCAGACACTGCACACACAGATCTGTCAGTGTCTGACGAGAACAGAACGGTGAAATGGCTGAAAGAAAAGCCCCCGAGTCCTGATAATCCTGACAGATTCGATGGCTGGTCCCAAGTGCTGTGCAGAGAACGCCTGTCTGGGCGCTGTTACTGGGAGGTGGCATGGAGCGACATGGGAGTTCATATCGGAGTGACCTATAAAGGAATCAGCAGGAAAGGTAAAGGTAACGAGTGCTGGTTTGGTCAAAATGATAAGTCCTGGAGTCTGGACTGCACGAAGGAGAAATACACGGCCAGGCACAGCAGTAATAAGACCATTATTTCAGCCACTGGTCGCTGCTCCTATAAGATCGGAGTGTATCTGGACTGGCCAGCAGGGAGGCTGTCCTTCTACGACGTCTCGTCTGACACACAAAAGCAGAAACTCAGTCACCTTCACACTTTCTTCGCCACGTTCACCGAGCCACTCTACACAGGCTTTATGGTGATTGATACCACTGTGACTCTGTGCAAACTGGTCTAGTCCAACTTAACCCATAGAAGTCTGAGGTACATTTTTACTATAAATTTAATTGCAATTATTTGGAATTGCTTTATGTACACATGTACATATATTTATTCATTTACATGTTTAATACATTTCTTACATACACGACTGCACACTTAAGAATGTATATATTATATACAGTGCTGTGAGAAAGTATTTCCCCCTTCCCAGTTTATTATATTTTTTGCATATTTGTCACACTTGTATGTTTCAGATCATCAAACTCATTTTAATATTAGTGAAAGATAACCCAAGTAAATACAGCTGTTTTTAAAAGATGATTTCATGTATTAAAGAAATGCTGGTCAGCCCTAGCTGGCCCTATGTGCAAAAGTAACTGCCCGCTTAGCTACTAAATCAATCAGTTAACCAAATTCAATTGATTATAGGGTTCAATTCCACCAGCCACACCCAGGTATGATCACTGCCAGACCTGCTGAATGTAAACTACACTTAAATAGAACCTGTCCGGCAATGTGAAGCGGCTAGAGAGTCTCAAAAAGCAGCACATGGTGTGACATTCTGGAGATTCAAGTACAGATGCGAAACAGTCATTGAAATCTACCTTCTGTTACAAAGCCATTGCTAAGCTTTGGGGACTCCAGAGAACCGAAGTGAGGGCCATTATGCACAAATGGAGAAAACTTGGAACAGCAGTGAACCTTCTCAGGTGGCCAGGCTACCAAAAAAATCACTAAGAGTGCATTGACATCTCATCCAGGTGGTCACAAAAGAATCCAGATGAACATCTAAAGAGCTGAAGGCCTCACTTGACTAAGTTAAGATCAATGTACACGATTCCACAGTAAGAAAGACGAAACAAAGGATGAAAATGGCATCCATGGGAGAGTTTCAAGGTGCAAACCACTGCTCTTGCATTTGCCAAAAAAATGTCTAGATGACCCCCAGGAGAATATTCTGTGGACTGCATTCCAACATAATGCATTCCACCACTGCGTTCCACCAAGAACATCATACCAACAGTCAAACATTGTGATGGTAGTGTGATGGTCTGGGCTACTGCAGGACCTGGACGACATGGACGACTTGGCATAATTGATGGAACAGTGAGTTCCTCCACAGTTCATCCAAAGCAATCTAAAAGACTCAAGTTATCACAGGTTAAAGCAAGTTATTGCAGACGTTTGATTGCAGTTGTTGCAACCTGTTATTACATTTAGGGCCGCAATTATTTTTTCACTTGGGTGATATAGATTTTATATAAATGTTAATCCTCAATACGTGGAATGATCATTTAAAAGTTGCATCTTGTGTTTACTTGTGTTGTCTTTATTTTTTATTTATATTAGTTGAATGATCTGAAACGTAAATGTGATACAGCAAATACAGAAAAAATTCACAGCACTGTATATATAACAGTTTTAACTAAATTATATAACTATTCACCAAAATGTATTTGTATATGTTTTATTCAGTATTTCAAGAATTTTATGAACAATAAGTGAATAAAACGATAAATAAAAAGTTTTTATCTCCTACTTGTCGGGTGACTAGAAGAATGGTTTGTGCACACAAACGTCTAAGTCTCTCTGAGGATTACAGAAAAGGTGGCATATGAGGTTGGCCGCCCATGCTCTCAGCGTTCTGACCGGTGTGGGCTATTTAAGCCCAGCACTGTGCACACAGGTCCTGTCTTTTTGCTCTTATACCAAGGCTGAGTGGAACATGCTGGGTTGAGTTGTTCTGACCTATAAAGGAATCTGCAGAAAGGGAATAGAACCTGTGGCTAATTCTGAACATGACACCTTACTCTCTGTATAGTGTACTATATGAGACCTGAATAATGGCTTGTATATTCTGTACTGAATGTTAGACAGTGCTAGCCAGGACATCTACATTGTAAATCAAAGAATTGACAAAAAATATTGAATATGAGGGCATTTTTGCCCTTTCCTGTGTTATTTCTGATGTCAGCCCTTTGATGTATGGTGTGGACACCATGACCAGTACAGTGAAAAACTATTCACCTCCAGATTTCCCCAATTTTCCCTCTATTTTTGTGTAGTTGTCACATTATATCTGAAATGTAACATGAAGAAACACAAAACAATAATCATGTAAATGATAATTTTATTAACTGAAGGACAAAAAGTTTTGCAACACATATCACCCATGTGAAAATGTTATTCCCCCCTTAATCTTAATAACTGGTCACTTAATAACACTTCCTACAAGATCACTCTGCCAAATCATTGTGGAGGACTCTAGACCCACTCTTCACTGCGGAATTGCTTCAATTCAGCCACATTAAAGGGCTTTTCAGCATGAACAGCCTTTTTAAGACTACTTTCACACAGCAGGTAAAAGTGGCCCAAATTCAATTTTCTCACCAAATCTATTTTTTTTTGTTAGGCTGTTCACAGTACCTTTTAAATGTGACCTACATCTGAATTGGCCTGAATAGATCATAATGCTTCACAAGGCGCGCTCATCCAGAGGTAAACAATCAAAATGGAGTCAGCAGTGATACCCATGGCCTAAAGTTAATGCTCATGTTTATGTGCAGTGGAGGTTTCAGTTTTATCTTTGCCAGCATCATAGTTGGTTGCATTCTTGGTTTCTTTAAACTTTGCTTTCAGACTTTTAATGTTTCTTTGACGACGCAGTTCTTTTCTCCTATGGCCGTGTTCGGCCATTTCTTTCAGAATATCTAACACTGAGCGAATGGGGTAAATGCCTTCTAATTAAGCCTCTAACAAAATATTACACCAAATGACTGAGGTGTGTTACCTCAACTGTAAAGTTTGGTGGAGGAGGAATAATGCTATGGGGTTGTTTTTTTAGGGGTTGGTCTAGAACCAGTGAAGGAAAATCTTAATGCTTCAGCAGATCAAGACATTCTGGACAATTCTATGCTTCCAACTTTGTGGGAACAGTTTGGGAAAGAACCTTTTCTGTTCCAGCATGACTGAGCCCCAGAACTTGACTGGCCCTCACAGAGCCCTGACCTCAACCCCATCCCACACCTTTGGGATGAACTAGAACGGAGATTGGGAGCCAGGCCCTCTCGTCCAATATCAGTTTCTGACCTCACAAATGCTCTTCTGGATGAATGAGCAGAAATTCCCGCAGACTGTCTCCAACATCTTGTAGAAAGATTCCCAGAAGAGTGGAAGCTGTTATAGCTGGAAAAGGGAACCAACTCTTTATTAATGCCTATGGATTTAGAATGGGATGTCAAAAAAGCGATATAATGTGTAGGTGTCCCAATACTTTTGTCCATATAGTGTCATATACAGTTCTGTGAAAAAGTGTTTGTCCCTTCCCAATCTCTTCTATTTTTTGCTTATTTGTCACACTTGCGTGTTTCGGATCATCAAACTACTCTTAATATTAGATAAAGATAACCCAAGTACACAAAATGCTATTTTTAAATGATTTCATTTATCGAAGGAAAAATGCTGGTTAGTCCTGTCTTGCACTGTCTGGCCCTATGTCTGGCCCTAATTCGGGCCACTTGTACCTGCTGTGTAAACATAGCCTAAGGTCCTCCTCTAGCATCTCAATGGGGTTCAAGTTAGGAGTTTTGTGTATCAATTCCAGCCTTCCTGAATTCTTTTGAATTAGCATAGTGTGCTGCCTATTGAGACCTTTTAGCCTACTTCACATTCCTGGAAGTGAGGTTTACATTCAGCAAGCCAGTCAGTAATTAAACCTAATTTAATTGATTTCAGTTGTCAGCTAAACTTGATTAAATGTTTGATTGAGTAATTGAAGGAACAGTTACTTTTTCACAGGTCAATTGGTGTTGGATAACTTTTTTCCTTCAATAAATGAAATAATCATTTAAAAACTCCACTTGGTGTTTACTCAGTTTTGTTCTGTCCTATTTTAAATTTTATTTCAAGCTTATACAATGTGTTACAAATGTGCAAAAATAGAAAAACTCAGGAAAGGGCATGGTTCTGCACAGACCCTTCCAAATTAGTATGTTGTAAATATAAGAAATTGATTTAAATCACCTTTAAAGTGTAATAAATCAATGTGAGAATGCTTTGTTGTATATTTTCTTCCATTTTTATATAAAGTGTTCCTCAATCTCAGTCAGTGACAACAAAAATTTAAAAAGAAAGTTCTTATCCTGCTCCAACACAGTAGGAGTGCACCTACAACCTTTGACAGATGCTGCAATGTTCTCCTCTGTCAAATGCAAACTGACCCACCTACACACTTCTTACTCCATATGCCCTGAACCCCTCTGTCCAGGCTTCAGGGTTGAACCTGATGCCTCATCAGTAGTTCTATTTAAGGAAGACAAGCCCCTTGGGCTTAATAGAAGGCATGAGTCACGAGTCAGTCTTTTCAGTTAATCAGGTTTTTTTCGATCCAATATGTGAATCACTTGACTTATGTGGTGAAAAGTGAGTCACATAAAAAAAAGCTCTTCAGTTATGCTTTCGTTGAATTTTCAGACAGACTTTTCACAGATGGTAGGCAAAGTGTGACTAAATGGAGGGCACAGGAACGGTTTGACCACTTTAAAATATGGTCTCTCAGCTAAATGTGTCAATGAATCCAGAATCCAGAGTTCTGCCAGGAAGACTTAGGACGTACGAGTGAAGGAGGACAATTTTTTATATCCTCAATGGGATTTTACAAGTTCATTTCAGTAGAAATTAAAAAGTCTTTGGTGTAGGCCCCGTCCTCAGTCCAGGTCTTGGAGCGTCGAAACCCTCACTGATTCTGCTGTATGGAGACGGCAGGGGTGGAGCCTACCCCTGGACAAGCAGACAGAGACCCAGCTGGTGGTGGTGGGGAGGAAGGAGGGAAAGTCAAAATGTAGGCACCCGAAAGCAGCAGAACAGGTACGTAAGTCGAGTCATTTTAAAGACAGGTGTAGGCCCAAGATTGGTCAGGAGAAATGAATGATTGATTGATGTAGCATTAGAGTTTTCCTGGCAGAACTTTTGCTAAAGCTTCCATTTCCTCAATGACACCTGGGCCTACTACTGTATGGCTCTTATAGCTACAATAAATAATAATATGAAGAAGAAGAAGAAAAAGAAACAAAACAATAAAAGATCTAAGGTTTAAAAAGATTTGAACATAGTAAAGACCTGTGTGTGCTTGTTTAAGAGTGGAGTTTTTATATATTTTTGAAATCTGCATTAGCTAAGCACTGTTCAAGTATATGATCCATTTTCAACAAAGCAAATTGAATCACCTGGAAAAGAATGGCATGCCCCCTCCAGGTAAGGGGAAAGGACCCGTCCCAGATGGAGGAGTTTAAGTATCTCGGGGTCTTGTTCATGGGTGATGGGAAGAGTGATCATGAGATCAGCCACAGGCTGGGACAGGCGGCAGCAGTACTGGACTGTAGTGGTGAAGAGGGAGCTGAGCCATAAGGCAAAGCTCTCTGTTACCAGTCGATCTACATCCCAACCCTCACCTATGGTCACCAGCTTTGGTTAATGATGGAAAGAATGAGATCACAGATACAAGCAGTGGAAATTAGCTTTCTTTGCAGGGTGGCGGGCTACACTCTATTTAATAGGATGAGGAGCTCGGTGATCCAGGAGGAGCTCAGAGTAGAGCCGCTACTCCTCCACATTGAGAGGAGCCAGTTAAGGTGGCTTGGGCATCTGATCCGGATGCCCCCCTGGCCGCCTCCCAGTGGGGGTTTACCAGGCATGGCCGTGTGGGACGAGACCTTGAGGTCGTCCTAGGACCCACTGGAGGGATTGTGTCTCCAAGTTGGCCTGAAAGCAGCTCGGGGTCCCTCGGAATGAACTGGAAGAAGTTGTGGGGGACAGGGTCATCAGATTCTCTGCATTCCCTACTGCTACCGTGACCCTACCGTGAGTCCATCCAGAAGGAGAGAAAGTAGAGTGAGCAGGTTTAGTGTGTCAGTTATGTGTATATTGTGGTCTCTTGTTGCATCGTTGCAAGTTATTGTATGTTCTATTTGCTGTATGTCAAAAATAATGAAGAATAATGAATGAAAAAAAAGGCAAAGCATTTTGCATGATGTCACTGTTCACATCACGCATATGCAGCACCCACAATTTTAAACATCTTCCCTGCACCCTTGATACTGAGTGAATGGTACTGGAATTCCAACCCTTTCCAACATACGTTCCTCATTTCAGCAGCCCATAACTACTTGTGCTCAGTTGTTTCTTGTTGAATCCTTAATTCTTGCTCAAAATATGTAGAGTCTAAATGTGGCATTTGCATCCGGAGTCTTGCAACATGATGACCAATATGTTGGTAAAGCAGGCCATCATGAAAAATCTGAGATCTAGACAAAATATTAGCTGTTTCAAAATCAAGTGTCCAGTACAGTGTTAGAAAACGAGATCGTGATGGTGAGCTTAGCAATAGCTAGCAAGCAACCTGCTAGACCACAGTAGCTCATAACTGATTAATAGCTTTAATCATGAAAGAAACAACTCTTTGGACAAAGAACATTATCACGTATGTGGTATTTGATGTTCAAGTCCAGT